AATTGTCAAAGATCAGCAGCTCCTGGTGCAAATCAGTACCATGGTGCTTATGCTGCTTTCCCCTTCACATGCAGGTCACATTAATTGCTCCCAATTATACCTCCAACTCACTGGCCACATGGTTTAGCCCTGGGACAACCATTTGTCGATGTTTCATCCATCTCTAACCAAAGGAGCATTAATCTGCTTAGACTGAACAAAAGGCAGCTGCTATATCCAACAATTTCAACAAGATCATGTTGGAACTAACATGATCTTTAAGTCCCTTCCAACCCAAGCCATTCTATAATTCTATGATTCTACAATCATGACTCTTTGACTGATCACTATCCATAAGGTTACCTAATATGTGACAGTACAAGCAGGTCAAATATGAATTGTACTAGTTGAGATAGGAAAGATGATTTGGTTCATTCTGTGGATTAGTGCAGAATTTTAGACTATTATCAACCCTGCCTCCCAGTGCCACAATAACTGTAAGAACCTTCCATGTCTTTCCTTAGAAATTATTTCATTCTTGTCAGAAATTTTTCCTCTATTCTGCATTTATTTTAATAATTTAAACCCATGCTTTTTAGCATTATCCCTTTTTTTTTCTTTCAAAATGTTCTAAAGATACTTTATGTTAAATAGGTATTGATTTCCTTTTATTGTTCTGAACACAAACTGAATGTGCTGTTCCTTCATTTGCTTTCACAGAACCATTAAGGTTGGAAAATACCTCCAAGATCACCAAGTCCAGTCTTTGACCAATCACCATCTTGTCAACTAGACCATGGCACTAAATGCCAAGTCCACTCATTTCTTGAACATCTTCGGGGATGGTGACTCCACCACTCCAATGCCTGACCACCCTTTCAGTGAAGCAATTCTTTCTGATGTCCAACCTGAACCTCCCCTGGCACAGCCTGAGGCCATTTCCTCTTGTCCTGTTGCTGGTTGCCTGGGAGAAGAGGCCAACCCCCACCTGGCTACAACCTCCTTTCAGGTAGTTGTAGAGAGCAATAAGGTCACACCTGAGCCTCCTTTTCTCCAGGCTAAACACCTCCAGCTCCCTCAGCTGCTCCTCATAGGACTTGTGCTCCAGATCCTTCTGCAACTCTGTTGCCCTTCTCTGGGGATGCTCCAGAACCTCAGTGTCTTTCCTGAACTGAGGGGCCCAGAACTGGACACAGGATTTCAGGTGTGGCCTCACCAGTGCCGAGTACAGCGGGCAATCACTTCCCTAGTGCTGATACAGGCCAGCACCTTACACTGAAGAGCAACCCCAGCATCAGTACTTTTGCCTCTGCTTTCATTGTTTCTCAGTTAAATTCACATTACATAGGTACCGATTACTGGGTGCACTCCAAAGCCAGTACCAGCCATTTTTAGAAACAGCATTTGTATATCAGATGCCATGCAGTGTTCTCCATAGCTGGGCAGCCAAAATAACTCTGCCAAAATAACTCTCAAGTGAGAATTGATTGGCATTGGAAGCTCAGGTTCCAGGTAGAGTGACTCTATACCCTAGAGAGTTGAGTCAAGGAAGGGAACAATGGCATAGCCTGCAGACTTGCTTAGGAATGGATGATTACAAGTTACACATTCCCACATGCAAACATGACATCAGTTTTAAAGTATTTCTCATACAGGAAGTTATTAATACACCCGTGTAAAATAAGTGCACAATATGTGTGTCTTAGCAGGCTCACTGCCTTGCTACTGTGTGTCTTGTCTGTGATACACTGACCAAATGCCACAGTAGCTCTCAGGAGACACTGGGTAAAGCTATATCTTGCAAAAAACCCACAAGTTACTAAGTACCATTCTTATGAAAATTTATATTGCATAACGCAGGCAGAATAAACGAGAGACTTTGGTCAAATATTTGGAGAAAGTAAGCACCGTGCTCACTGTGTTGATACTCAAACATCCCAAAAGCATTCCCACACAACATATGCAAAAATCAAATCAACTTGTGTAACTAACAACACTGACACTGGCATTAACTGGAAATGCAACAAACTGCAGCTAGCAGATGCCTTTTAAAACAATACTTAGGATACAAGGAAGCTTGATGTATACCTAGACCAAAAGGATGGCTATGTACAACAAAGCTTAACGAATGTGTTTTGGTGACAATAACAATAAAAAACAAAATCAAAATAAAACAAAACAAGAAACTAACCAGCCCCCACCCATCAAAACAAAAAGAAACAATACAAAAAAACCCCAAAACAACCCACTTTAAACCCAAAATTTCCTTAATTTTCTTCTCAGCCTAAAATGCTTTCAGGTAAGCTCTTCAGATTTAACAGATGAATGCCTCAGTTGAACTACTGGAATTGCTACTTGCCTTTAACTCGAAGGAATAAACTTGATGTCTAATGTTAGAGTATCCTTTTTCTGAACAAGAAATTGTTTGTAGGAGCACAGGGATTCTTAAAGGACAAATACATTTCCTCTGGCAGTAGGAAGACGGAGCGTATTGTACCAGGGACAAAAACATTTTCGCAGAATCCATGACGTGTTCCAGAACGTGGTGCTCACTTTGTGCAGCGTGGAAATTCCCGAGCATTCGTTCATCGGGATGCAGATTGCAACACAAAGTTCACCTGCTGATACACTCTCCGTGGCACACACCACGTGTGGGTGTCTCACGGCCTCGTGGAGCGGTCTGGGGGAATGGCACGGCGAGGTGACAGCTCGGCAGGGGCGGAGAGCGCATCGCTTCGTGGCAGCCAGGTGTGAGCACCCCCCGGAGCAGGGAGCAGCCAACCTCAGCACTGCAATCCCAAAGAACCCTCCTGCGCTCGTCACAGCCAGCGAGCTGTGCTCAGTGCTGTAGCCATTCTTCTGTGGGGGGGTCTTCAAAAGCCTTATGACCTGTGACTTACAGCTATGGAGCAGTTTAGAAACTCATATGTGAAAGAGAAAGGCTTTACTTGAATTGTAAAGTCCTTTCCAGACAATGCAGGAAAGGAAAATTATGTGTCTACAACTACGACTCCAGTGTTAGACTGCTCCTCAGGATGTTTGAATTAAAGGCAAAACAGCTTAAATTTATCTTATTATATTTTCTTAAAGATGTACATATAAAGAAATTGTTAAATATACTGAGAAACTAAGGTTAACCAGAAAAAATACTACAAAAGTCTACCAATCCTCAGCTAATCAATACACTGATGTCCTCAAGGTGACCCCCATGTATTTGAAGGCAAAAAGTTTTAAGACCTAATTCTGGAACAACTGATGATTTGTACCAAAAGTTCAGCTAGGACTTTTTTAGTATCTACAAACTTTTTTTTCTCTAAAAACCAGCAGAGGGAGACAGGTTCTTTTTTACTCCTAAAGAAAGCAAAAGACTGTATTGCTTCCTCAAAAACGACAACTTTAGAAAATTCAGTATAATTTCCTAGATTACTCTTTCAGTGCCTTTTTTTGGTAATTTGAACTCTAATACTCACTTTTCTTTTTCTTTGTGTCAGTGTTTATCCAAGCTTAGATGGCTCTTAGATCCGCAGATGTTTAGTCAACAGTATGTTCCTATTAATATTTTGCTGTGAATTTCTTTCAGGGAGAAAGGGGATATCAGTGTTAGTAATGAATGAAAGAAAAATTAGGCTGTGGTTATATTTGAAATTCATAAAATATTTTTCATATTCACCCATATTTTATCAAATAAGTTATGTCCAGATGAGCTACTAGAACAGGGAACTGAACAGAAACAATTTGACACATTTCACTCCTTGTTTTTCTGTAAATACTTTGTGATAACTTTTTAATCTACTTTTTTTCCCCCCATATAACTCCCTTTTACAGATGGTCTATTTAATCAGAGAAGAAATTTCAATAAATGTTTTTTGGATAGAATGTGTTCTATGTGATATGCACGATTTCTATAATTTGAGGGGTTTAAATAAAATGAAGCTTCCAATAGTTCCTAGAATAGGGTGGAAGCAGGAGAGTTAGAGAACACATGCAGGAACTGTGTCAGTGCTGCAGTGTGCTCAGGAGGTACCATGGGATAGTTGTTAGTCTGATGTATGCTGTGGTAAGGGCTATTAATGTAAGAATGATGCCAGAAAAACCTGAGTGAGAAACTGCGGGCAACAGGATGCGTGCCTGGAAATAGCAATCATTCCTTGGGCAAAGATAATTGAGGTAATTGAGAAGCCTTCTGGCATTTAAAATCCCAATGACAGCAGGTCATGCTTAATGAGACATCCAAGGACAGAAGATGATAAAACTTCATATTGACTACCCACTTGAATTATCCTGTATCAAAGAGTTTAAAACAAACAGACCAGCACTACCTGCAGGAGTCTTACACAAGAGACTTCCACGGTGATCTCTTTGGAAGTCTACTAAGAAAGAGGCTACAGGGTCTTCTCCCAGCTGCCCAAATTTCTGCAACTCCATGGAAGATCCAAGTCCTCCCTGACAAAAGCTGGTGTTTCCTTTGTTGTATAAGTTAATTGCGTGAAGCTTCTTGTAGTAACCCTATGTTCATCAGTAACACAACTTAACAGTTCTTTAAGCATTTCAAGACAATGGAAATATTGTACTATTATAAAAATATTGAACAATTCCTTATGTCCTGTATTTATTTGTAGTCAAACAGTGTATATTGGTGAAAAGAAATTATCCTATCAAGTACATTCAATGAGGTGTTTTCATATCCCCGTCCAAGTCTGGATCTGTCATGGCTCTGGCCCTTAATCCTTGTATTTTGGTATACAGTTTTTTGTGGTTTTCATAGGGGAAGTTAAGTACTCCATGTATTTCCTGGAGAACATTTGTAAAAACAGTTTTCAAGTTAAGGGTCAATGATCCAAATTCAACAGATTTTATCTGAGATATTCTGGAAGCAGCAGAATTAATTAAAAATCCCTTAAATCCTTGCCATTATTTTTTAATTGGTAAATAGGCATCTTTTACTTAGGAATGACAGTTACATAACAGTAGAGCACTGGCACATTATTCAAAGGGATTTATTGCTTTTCTTTGCTGCTTACATTCATGAGTAGAAAGACACTCATGCTTGAGGGTGTCTGGATAGAGTTTTAATGAAAGTTATTTCTGAGTTTGGTGGAAAACTTTTCCAATGGGATTGCAGTAGTCAGCCCCCAGTGGAAAGAACCCAACAACATTAGGAGCCAACAACATTAATACGTGTCACAACTCACTCAAACAACTTGACACAGAGCTTTTGTGTGTGGGAGGAAAAAAAGAAATGTGTGTTCATGCATGCACAGCTCACTGAGAAACTTCCAGGAGGAGGACAGCTGATTGTCACACCACACATTTCTGGCCTCGTTACAAACCCAGTCTTTGTGGATACTCCATCCATCAGAATAAATGAACTTTGTCTGGACTGAGCTTGTGCGCCCAGGTGTAGGTGTGCAGAACATGCTGGGAATGTCCTTTCTTGTCTTCCAAGGTGTCAGAGAAATCACCTGTCAGCAAACCTTTTTGGGATCCACAGTCATCCTTCTGCAATGAAACAGTGATACATCAGGCTACAGAGAAATACAGCACTTTGTCCTAAGTAAGCAGAGCACAGGCAGTATTGAAGAAATCGGAAGTATTAATGTTAAGAAAACTGCTTATTTTCCAAATATAATTGTAATATGAAGTTTTGAATACTAATTGGCCTTTGCTTGAGAAATATACTGAAGAGTAGCTGAAGGATATAGATAAAGGAATGACATTTCAGAAGTGCCATTGGGTAATTCTGCCCATGATACCAATCTAACAGTGCAGCAAGTATTTAAGTTAATGTGCGTGTGGTGAAAGTATAGAATGGTCTAATGACTGTTAGAAATTACTAAATGGAAACATTTTTAGCTACCTCATTTTAACTAAATCTCAAACCTTTCAGAAAAAAAAAGATTTAATTGTGTATATGTCACTTGCAAATATTACTTCTAATAGAAGTGAATATTTAACTAAATCCCAAGCCTTTCAGAAAAAAAGGCTTCAGAAAAAAAATATTAAACTGTGTATACGGCACCTGCAAATACTACTTCTCTTAGAATACTGTATAGTGTTTTGGGAGAGCAGAAATTAATCATTCCAGTCAGGAATCCATCATTAAGCATGGCATTAAGCATGATCTTGGTTTTGTGTTTAAATCAATGGAAATTCTGCTGTAGTTTCACTGAAAGCATAGCCTTAAACCCCCCAAATTATCTTTGCTTCCTACCACTAAAACCAATGGAGGAATCCACCTGCAGTGTTTTGGCATCTCCCAAAGGTTCCTGGATGAATCCCTAACTCGTGAAAGCTTTGTGTTAAAATACCACACTAATGAAAAGTTAGATCCTCCAGCTATTTGTGCATTCTCTGTTAGCAAGGGCATCCTGTCCTCCTTAGTCTCACATTATTAAAAAACAAGTCCAACTCTCAGTCGTGAGACTGTGAAGTAAAGTGCCCTCCTCCTATCTAATATTAAAAACCTTTGAAAATCCACAAGGTTTAAGTAAAAAAGCCAGTATTTTTCTAAAACCTGGTGACATTTAAAACCTGAAAAATGATTAACGTGCTAGTCTTATAAAATGGCCCAACCATGCAGTGGTTCTGGAACGTTTTTCTAGAGCAGCAGAGAACACACAGTACTGATCATCCCTGACCTCTCTCTTTGGTTGAGACAGACTTTAATAGCTTGCTCTGAAGACAGACAAGAAGTCGACTTTTTTTCAACCTCGAAAATATATGAAACATACCCAGCCTTTTAGAGAATTCCCTGGGTATTTTTAAGTATGCATAACAGCTTTCACTAAAGGGAGAAGGTACAGATGTGAAACAGATGGGGTTCTTTTTTTCCCTAAATTTATTGCAATCACAAATGCAATGCAATTGGCTAAAATAGTCTAAAAATCCTATTCTCACATCACAGTTTCGTGAGCTCTGGAGTCAATGCACTGTTTTCTAAGGAAAAGGACAGATAGCTTTACAGCTGTAGAGGGCTTACACTGAAGGCATTTAAAGAATCCTTCTTTAATCTGATTTTAGTAGAAATGAAGCTTTACTCATTTTCTAGTCTAGCACCAAAATTGACAGCGTTGATCCCATGGATAATTAAAACATCCCTGGGAGTTTGGAATCTGTTATGGCCGGTCTTAAAAGGTATTATGGTGCATTCAGAAGAAGGAAGGAAACAAGGAAGGAAGGAAGGAAGGAAGATTGAACAGAAAGAACCAGAGCAAAAAGCTTAAACTATCTGTTTCTGTGACAGTGGGTATCATAATGTAATTTGTAAACATTCCATCTGACCACTCAATAAAGGGGATTTGCAGCAAACCCTGGAGTATATTTAGCCCCTAAAAACCAGGCCACACGGTGGGATGTGGTTAAAACCAGAGCTCAGATATTCAGCTTCCCACAGGCTCTTCTGTAAGTATTAGATCGTCTCCAGAAAGTCCCTTTTAACCCTAAATTACTTCAGAAATACTTTAATCCTTTCAGATATCACGGTTCAGAGAATTCACTGTTTGGAGTTAGTGAATAACATTTTCCCACATTTTTAATTTTTTCCCTCTCCTAATTAATTATATAGGTTAGGGAAACTGAAATAAGCTTGCTAGGTTATTTCACCATCTACCATTTTAGTGACTTGGCCTCAGTCATTTAAGATGAAAACAGGCTTTTACAACATTGAAGACCCTGCCACTCATTAGAAACCATTAGTTTAAAATTACAGAACAAATATTGCATTATTCTCTCAACTAAGTGCACACATGGAGATTAGGGAGTACTAATAGAGCATGACTGGCACCTTTGCAAACTTAGGACTTCAAAGGTAAATACACTGTCTGCCTAATGGCAAAAGGCAGACAGATGTGATGACAGAGGTAAAGCTTGTATTGAAAGCTTTTTTTTTTTAAAGCCATGTTTAAACCATATGCCCCTCTGTGATCATTAAGCACTGGAAATTAATGTTTTGGACTGTTGTAGTAAAGGAGGATTTAAAAGAATCTGATGCTGATATCTTCACTGGCTTTGAAAACCTTGAAATTAATAAATAACTTGACTGCAGTCTACTGGTCACACTTAGTGGTATGCAAGTCAGATTACTTTGATGCAAGACATCAATTCTTGCCCAAAATTTGAGCCCTATGAGGGACCCTATATCTGCAGTCATTAATATGAAGGAAGTTTCACCTTTACCAGATGATGAAGTCTTAAGACTGCGAGTATCTAAAACAAATTTGTGCAGTCTCTTCAGTTGGTAAAGTTTCTTAAAACATCATAGAATAGTATTAATTTAAAAATAACATAGGAAATAATATTTGTTTCCATCTCTGCATGTAGAGTCAGTCATTCCATTCGGCATGGAGACTGCATGATTTTTTGGGTAGGTTGGGGAAAGATGACCCTTCAGAAGGGTTTGAAGGGTCTCCCTGTGTTCCTTTGAACAAGAAGTTTTAGCGAGAGGCTCAGACACACCAGAGGAGAGATGAAAAGGGACTGTGGCGAGACATGCCTTTCAGTCCCCTGGTACTGGCCATTTCTTAAGTGAAACTATACACTTGCATCTTGAGGCTCACAGAAGGAGTTTGATAACACTTCTACAACAAGGAACAATTGCAGAGCGCTTTCAGATAGACTGATGAAAACTTTTACCTTGGATGTTACATTTTTATTGGGGGAGGGGATAAAATACGGAACGATGTGGGAGTGAGGCCAGAAGATGTGACAACATAAGTAAAGAAAACAAGGTCCAGAAGAATTATTGTTGTTGTCCTCCTCTATTTTACAGCTCAGTCTGTCTCTCAGGTATTTCCATCTCCACTCCCTTTCACAACTGTAAACACCGCAGGAACCACAGCAAATGCCATAAAGAAAGGCTGTATTAGCTGCCTTTAATCCAGTGTCAATACCACAAAACTGGGCAGCATGTAGCTAACCAATGCTAGGAAGATCTTAGGTGTTGGTTTCCAGAGCAGTTTTTCCACTTCTACGTTGTATCAACAGGTTTTGAATTTTATTGGCTTTTTATATCCAGTGTGGCTGTTGCTCCACAACCTGTAATAACTTCTTTGCTTCACAATCTATGGAACTCTTGGCTTAATATTTCCCTATTTCACAAACTAAGTATGAACACTAACCACCATAAAATATTTAATATTGAAACTGTGATGGTCATTTAGTTGCACAGTTAATTCATGTTGGGTTTCCAAAATTATTTTAAAGGCACGACTATTCTTTTTCTATCCTTATTTAATTTCTGGTTCTGCAAAAACATATTCTTGAGACTGTTAGTTGCAGAAGTATATGGCAATCTTGGTTTTTTTTTCTCCACAAGGTTTTCTGTTCCTTTTGCTTCAAACCGTCTTTCTCCTGCTTTCCCTCCCTCCTCCCCATGCCAGGAATCGATCAGGCCAACCACATAACTTTTCATCCAAATTAGATACATTTGGTAAAATTACTGGTTAAGATACAAAAGCAAATGTCGACACAGAATCAATCTTTTGAAATAAACCTCAAGCCATGCAACAAAGTGTTATACTGATCTGTTAGTTTTCCTACTCCAGGATATGTAACTGCTTTTGAAAGCACTTGCATTATGATTTATTTCCATTCCTCTGTGGTAGGTAGAAGACTATTTCCATTTTCTAGATACAAGCTCGGCAGAGGCAAGAAAATTACAAACAATGCTCTTTCAAATATTCTTACCCAATCTTATTTTTATGAATAGTTTTGAAAGTGAGGAAAAATATTTGCAATGCTGCATTAAACATGTATGAATTAACAAAGAATAAAGATCAGTGGTTGATAAAGTACAAAGGGAGACAGAAACAGAGTGAAACAACTTTTAAGCTACTTTTATGTTCAGCTAGGGTTTATGTAGGTCAATGCAAACCTTGCAAATTCCCCTCTGGCACATCTTTTGTAGAAATCTCTCTTTAAAATTTCATCAAAGAAAGGAAAAGTTGGGATGATGTCCCTTTCTGTAACAAAGTAGCTCCTTGCCACAGATTATTTACACATCTTGCTCATAATAATACTTCTGAATAGAAAGTGTTTCATCTCTGAGATAGACAAAATGTTTCCTGATGGCCAGGGTCCAAAACAACACAGGATGGAGCAGAACTTGCAACCATATCCTCCCATTCCTGTAACATTCAAATTCCCTCAGCAAGTTTTTCAGGAACGAGATAACATTAGGGCCCAACAAGGACATCAACAATACTTTTTAATAAATACTTTTTTCTTTTTCAGTGTGAGAAACAAATACACATGCAGTCTATACCTCATTGTTCCACTGAGCACAGAGATACACTTGGGTGTTTTGTTTTCAGTTTCCAAAGCTGTCAGCACCATTCTACAGATGTCCACAAACACGTACATTTCATTTCAGATGTAATCAGATGTAACAGAGGATAAAAGGGTGCTTCACACTGGGCAGGGTCTAGAAAGGCTGGGGAAATGGCTTCCAGACCAAAATGCTCTTGCTACCCTTTGACTGAAAGATTCAGTCTTCAGCACATTCCCCACAGAAGAGTAGCAGGGGAAAACATATAGACTAAGTCTTGCAATTAAAGATAAACTCTCATCAGGAACGGCAGGCAGAGCCTTCCTACCCTTCAACAGATCAACACTCCCACCAAACTTAGTGTCATCTGTGAACTTAATGAGGGTGCACATTTAAAAACCTAAAGGAAAAGGCAGACCTTTGGCTTGTACAATTCACGGCATCAAAGGTAATAGCACTTTCCACCCACAGTGCCTAAAGAGCAAAACTGCACTTTTCACAACATGCATAGGAAAGGGAAAAGTCTGCCCTGGACTTTAATCTCTTAAAGATAAATCAGATCCTACCTCATCTTTCTCCACAAAGCAGTTAGAAAGCTTATACTTTAACTTTGATTTGCAATCCAAAAGGTGGGATAAATTCAAAGAGCAGATGATGGTTGAGAAATTGTAGCACGCGATATACAAAGGGAAGACAGGCAGCAACGTTCAGCATGTACCTCTGAATCTACCACATGATTGCATTGCTTTTTTCGTGTGTTATGAAAAATAGTGACCATTTCTATTTACCTTCATCATACCACTCTTTACTACCCTTTACAAGGGTAGACCTTTGTGTCATACTTACCATAGAGATGTACGATGGATTTATGCCACAATATAACAATTCTTTTCCTTTCATACTATTATTTTCCTAGCAATTCCATTCCTCCTAATACTTGCTATTTTGACCTCCACTAAGCACTGCAGCAATGTTTTCACAGAACCTTCTTATTACACATCCACTATCTGAGCAGTAAGAGAGCTAGTCCAAAGCTTGCCATTTTGGGTTAAAAAAGCCAAGACTGCCATTTCTTCAAGGCAAATCAGTTTACATTACTAACATATAATTTATTGCTTCATCACTCAGCTACTGAGTATCATCAGATACTCTGCAGATCCAAAGTAAAAGCTTTACTTGCAATGTTATTGCTCTAAGTAATTCCCTGTCATCAGCAAACTTTCTCACATCATTTTGTACCCCCCTTTGGGAACATCTATGATAACGCTGAAGCACAGAGACCTGGCATAAATTCCTGGGAAACATCACTGCTGACTTCTCTCCACCCCACATTAGTCCAAGGTTTATAAAAAAATAACAGTTAATAAAGTCCCAGAACCCCTAAACATCACAAGAATAAAGCCCACATGTTGACTGCTCCTTTTCGCCCTGCAATAATTGAGTGATAATCACACGCATATAATTACAACAAGACAGAAGCAGATATAATTTTAAAAGACAGGCATTTCTTAAAATTAATACCACAATTTTGTAAATATCTGGTTGATACTTAGCCTTTGCCAAAAATTCAGATGCTACTTATCTGCTTTGTGGAGAGAATGGCGTTATAGAAACTGCAGATAAGTTAAAAAAAAATACAATAAAATGTAAAGAAATATTGATTTGCATGAGAAATCAAATAAAAACTGCATCAGAAATCAAGTGCTACCTTTTCCTTTAACGAGACATTTCTATTATTTCTTGTTGCATGTGAGATTTGTGTCATACATATGCCCTATATGTCCATTACCACAAGACTTTCTGTTTCTACTTTTGAAGAGTATTTCCATTACTGGAAATGAGAAGCCAAAAAAGTGCTGTAAGTGATACACTTCCTGCTGCAACCACAGTACCCTACTTTTTACTTCCTGTTTTTCTTGGTGTCCGTTATTATCATCTCATTTTCAAGGCACCCTCTCTTCAGTTAAGAGTATCAAAATTGCTTGTACCAAGTTACAAGTCTTACCTCCTTCTTACACAAGATATCATTCCTCTTCTGTCTTCTCTTTGTGATTTCTCCATGTTGCTTCAAGTCTAAAATTATCCTCGTGTCCTGTACCAGCATTAATACTTTTCTACACCTTTAGAACAGTTCTCCCTCAACTTACTCTATACTTGCCTTCTGAATGTATTATGGGTCTTGCCCCAGTTCTAACTCAAAGTATTTTAGAGGAAGATTGTGCTTGTTTCTCTGAATACATCTCCTTCTGTGTTACTAATGTAGCTTTGTCAGACATGATTTGCCCCAATGAAGCCATGTTGGCTGTTAGCAATCACCTCATTTTCCATGTGCCTTAGCACAGCTTAAGAGTTACCATCATTGGAGGGGTTGTTGACACAGCCCCAGAAAGCTGGGGATCCACCCTACCCAGAGGTTCTCCACCCTTCAGTTAAAGCAGTTAAAGGAGCCTGACATGAAACAGCCACATAGTTTTTGGAGAGAGAAAAATAAGTAGCAGGATTAACTAGGCTACAGTGCTTCTCAGCTTGTGATTGGGAGAGGGTGAAAATAACCTGAAAACAGTTAAAGCTGTGATTGAAATCTTCTCCACTAAAGCAGCAGGCCTGACAACAGCATGGGGCCTGTGAGGAAAAAAAAGAAATTATTATCTTTCAGGAGCTGGTTATTTGTTTCTAAAACTACAAAATCACAGAATCATAGAAGGAGTTGGATTGGAAGGAACCTTAAAGAGTATCTAGTCCAACCCCTCTGCAGTGAGCAGGGACATCTTCAACTAGATGAGGTTGCTCAGAGCCTATTCAACCTGACCTCTACATCTAAATGTACATCTACAACTCTGGGCAATCTGTTTCACCACTGTTTCACCACCCTCATTGTAAAAAACTTCCTTCTTCTTTCAAATCCAAATCAACCCTTCTACAGTTTAAAGCCATTTCTCCTCGTCCTGTTACTATTACCCTACTACCTGCTCTTGCAAAAAAGTCTCTCTCCAGCTTTCCTGTAGGCCCTCTTTAGGCACCGGAAGGTGCTGTAAGATCTCTGAGGAGCCTTCCCTTCTCCAGGCTGAATAACCCCAACTATTTTAGAGAAGACAGATAGCTGGAGAACAGCTGCATCTCCAGGAAAACCAACTAACAGTCACCCTGATCCTCACTGCACCCATCCTGCACACGGACACGCTGCACTGGCCATGCACGCGCGTGCACTACACCAGCCTCAAAACCTCTGGCACCACCAGCAGAAGGGCTTTGCTCCAGCCCCCTGGCACCACCCACCTGCCTGAACCACATCTCTCATTTGTATTAACTATCTCCCAGCTCTTCTGCAAAGGCAGCATCCAAGGAAAACTATGCTGAGCTGCAGGCATGGAGGGGAGCAGCTCCAACATGTCACCTCCAGGGTCCCAAGCGTGATCCTCCCTGTGCCAGTGCCCTGCTGCTCCAGGTCCTGGGAAGCACATCCCACCCTACCATAACCCAGGTGGGAAGGCTGGGAGGGTCAAGGTTACCAAGGAACAGTGGGAGGAGGAAAAAAATTGTCCCTCCTGCTGTGCGCACCATTGTCCTTACTTCCCACAATCTGTTCTGCTGAGCACAAGGCACACTGCACAGGAGTCCCCTTCTCCTGTCCGTGCCTCACCCACCTGGACACTGTGGGGGGCTGTGTCACAGCCTTGCTAAAGTCACAGTAAACAGCTGTCACTGCTCTCCCCTTGTCCCATGAGGACATTCCTCCAAGCAAAGCCCATGTTGGTCCTGCCACAGCTTGTCCTTGGGGAAGCTGTGCTGGGTGTTCAGTGATGTCACCTTGCCCTGCAATGTGCCTTCAAGCCACCTTCTGGCAGGCGTCTGAGAAGGGCAGGTTCTTCCTGGAAACCTGCTGGAAGGTTCCCACAAAGGACCTGCCTCCAATTCTTCCAACAAGGCAGAGAGAGCTCCTTTTTGGAATGGGCAAACAAGAGGCCACAAAAGCTTTGTCCTTCATACAGGCAAAGAGTAAGGGTGCACCTCTGACCGAACCCATCCCCACTCCCAGGTGCCCACCTCTCCCTCGGGCTTTGTGCTCTCCACACTCCAAGGGCGGAGCCGAGGCACAGGGAAGAAGAGTCCATGCAATGCTTGGCAATCGGCAGTTCTAGTGCTCACCTCCCTTTCCTTCTTTCCCTTCTCCAGTGGCATGTCCGGATGCTTCGCCCCTCTCATCCACTGTCCAGCACGGGATGCTGTGTCGAAGGGGTGTCACTGAGGACCCCTGACCCCCTCAGAATGTTGTTGCCACGGTGTCGCTGAGGGGACCCCAGGCATGGGATGAGGAAGGTGCTGGAGCCAATGGCTCCTGAGGAGAGATAGGGGGTGGTCCCTGTGCCCAAGGGACAGCCAGTCTCACACAGGCAGCACAGCAGGTGGGAGCGAGACCCAAGAGAGGGGACCTCAGCCCCCTCAATCCTCGTCCTTCTCCCACATCGGGGCATCTTTCAGGCCACAAACTGCCTGCAGCTGACTAAATTCCAGTGCTTCCAGGTCCCCAAAATGACAGTCAGGAAACTGGTAAAGAATGCTGACTGACCCCAAAACTGTTTCTAAAGTGAACTGTAGGTAGGAAAATGATTTTCTAGTCTGTAACAGTATCTTCTTGAGAGAGGGAAACATCCAAGTAGTGTCAGCCCTATTACTTTAACAGCTTTGTTACCACAGATGTCATCATAGACAGTTTACAGCCCCATTTTATTTTACCTGCATAACCCAGAAGCTAAAATTTCAACCACCACTTTGGACCCATTATAATTAAGTCTCAACCCTGTGGCAGTTTTGAGTTTCTTCCCTAGGCTGAGTAAATCCCACAATAATTTATTTTTTCTTCTGATTTGTATAAACTATTGCAACAGTTTCTTAAAAAAAATTAACTTCTAGATGCTTATCTTGTAAATTAGAGAAACAGAAATACAATGCACAGTGATAAAAGTTCTTCAATAATTTGTACATATCAATACATCTCTTTAAATGGCTCACAGTATTGAGACACCATCACTGCTTATTCCAGAAATTGGTATTTCATAGGAAGTGCAGTGCATTTGCTATCACAGCTACCATTTACCTACCCACTAAAACCAACTTTTCTGAGTATTTTCTGAGCACTTCTAGTGCAAAACAAACGCCTAGAGCATACAGAAAACAATTGCCAAAAAAACCCCACCCAGATACCATACTCTGAAACCAGGTAGGAATGGAAATACACGAATCAAACCTTACACAAATGTGCAAGCTGAAAATAATTTCCTAAGTTGTTTGATCTGCATGGATCTTAAGACTTTTCTCCCCTAAGAGGAAGGGAAAACCAGGTCTGAAGGCTCAAATGAGTGAAAAGAAACAGGAAAAACAAGAAGTGTGCCCGAAGATACATTTTCGAATTTCTACATCCCAGCTCACGCCTGGACAGGGAACAGCAGCGATTTACTGCGACGGAGAGCTTCGCACAGGGTACTACGGGGTGTAAGGCGCGAGTTGTCTCCCGAGGTGCAAGGACAGTGCCAGCGTTGCCTCGGAGGATACAGGGGACCCACCGAACACCCAGATCCCTCCCTCGTCCCTCATCCCTCATATCCCTCATCCCGTCTCCCGCCCCCGGTGACGTCAGCGGCGCGCGGCCCGGCCCGGCCCCGCCCCCGCGGCCCCGCCACGTCCCTGCTCGGCGGCGCGCGCGCGTCACGGCGCGCCGGCGGGGCCGGCCGGGCCAATCGGGGCGCTCCGCGACGCCCGCGAGGGGTCAGCGCCGGCCAATGGCGGCGCTCCGGGGGGCGGGCGCTGTGCCCATGGCAACGGGCGCGGGGCCGCCGCGGGGCTGTCGCACCGCTCCGCCCGCGCCGCGCACCGAGCGCCGCACCGAGCACCGCACCGGCAGCCGCGGCCGCTCGGGGGACACCCGGGCACGCTTCGCCCCTCCGCCCCCGCGCTCAGGAGGCACCTCAGCGTTGAGAAGCAGCGGCTCCTCTCCCGCCGCAGCGGGACCCAAAGGTAGCGCCGCCCGTCCCGGTGCCCCCGCCGGTGGCGGAGGCCCTGGCGGCGGGGCGGCTGCCAGGTGGGAGGCGGGGTGGGGTGCGTGTCGCGGGGGTCTCGCCGCCCTCCCGCCTGCCGGGTTCGAAGCCAGGGGGGTCACGGTGAAATCGCGGGGCTGCCTCCCGTGCGGGGCAGCGCAGCTGAAGTTTTTCCGGGCGGCTCCAGATGTGTGTGTGTGTCCCCTCCATCCCTCGCTCCATCCCTGCGGCCGCAGGTACCCGCGGATCCGGGCGGTGGGTGAGCTGCAGAGCGATGTAGAGCGCCAGGGGAAAGGAAGGCAGAGCTGGCAGCGGCAGCAGCTGCAGCGGGAAAATGTTGGGTGGCTGGTAATTCCACAACCGCAGGGGAAACTTGGGCAGGAGACTCGACTGATTTCATTAGAAAGGGCAGAGCTTTTCGGCGTTACTGTCATAGAATCACACAATGGTTTGGGTTGGAAGGGACTTTAAAGATCATCCCGTTCCAACCCCCTTGCCTTGGTCAGGGACACCTTCAGTTAGACCAGGTTTTTTAGAGCTTCATCCAGCCTGGCCTTGAACACTTCCAGGGATGGGGCATCCACAGCTTCTCTGGGCAACCTGTTCTAGTGATTCATCAACCTCACAGTAAAGAATTTTTTCCTAATATGTAATCTAAACATGTTTTCTTTTGGTTTGAAGCCATTCCCCCTTGTCCTGTCACTACATGCCCTTGTAAATACATCTCCCTTGTCTCTTTCCTGTAGGTTCCCTTCAGGTAGTGAAAGGCTGCAATTAGGTCACCCCAAAGCTTTCTCTTTTCCAAGCTGAACAATCCCAGTTCTCTCAGCCTTTCCTCGTAGGAGAGGTGCTCCATCCCTTTAATCATCGTGGTTGCCTCCTCTGGACTTGCTGTAGCAGATCCATGACCTTGTGCTGGGGACCCCAAAGCTAAATGTCTTACTGTACTATTACTGTAATACCACTGGAGGAGTTCCATAAAATACCCCAGTGCTAGGCTGGCCACTGCACTCAGAAAATATTCCAGAAGAGGAAAAAAAGTTGAGATATGGCTATAGACAGGTAACATTTTTTGGATGAAATGAATATGTCTGAGGTTTTCAAAAGAGTTTGTGTTTGGCAACACTTTTTAGGAAGCCCATAGGAGAAAAAAGCCTCTGTTGTTTGAGTTGCAAGTATTTGCTGTGGACAGATAACATCCAGTAGTTTCAACACGAGACCATCACATATGAACAATGAAGCACCTGTGCACCCATGGGATCAACTTCACTGTGGAGCTTTTGTGGGCTTTTCTTTGGTCATTTTGTTTTCTCCCACTCTGAAGAAAAGTCCTGTGGTTGACTCAGTATTGGTGCAGCTCTAGTCTGAATTCCTAAGTGACCATCCCTCTCAACCAAACAGAGCAGCACAGGGAAGATTCCTACTGTGAACACTGGGTAGGAAGGGAAGAGCCATTCAAAAACTTTGAACCTAGGTTTTATTGTAACCTTTATGGATAGTTTATGGGAGAAGCCTGCATTTCTGTGAGCGCTTAGGATTCAGTTGTATCTCTAATTGTCATTTGCTACACAATGGTCTTGTGCAGTCATAGTGCCACGTCCACCATGACTGCAGATTACTAACCTAATTACATACCCTACCTCCTACCCGTGGTTACCTTTTATTCACCACTGTAATCTCTTGGATGGTAGCAGTATTTTATTTCAGGATAAGAAAGGTAATTATATAAAAAAGAGTAGCATAAGTCTATCCGTAAACAAATTGTGTTGGTGTAGAACAATGTGAATCTCATTCACTTCTAGCCAAGATAGTTAACACAAATAAAAAACCCCAGGGAAACCAAATTATAAATTAATATTGCCCATTGGGTCTGCTTAGAACTTACATTAGTACTTGGATAAAAAGGCACGCGGTGTAAATTTGTTTGATGCTGTAATACTGCTTGAGCTACATTTATTTGGAATCTGAAATTGTATTCAGAAAACCCCATCGGGCAAATAAAACCAAGCAATAAGAACAAAAAGAATTATTCTTCTAATAAGACTAAAGCCAAGTTTTCATACCTTGGCTGCACAGTACTGGCAGTGCTGCTGACGTAAACTTTCTGTTCGTATAAGCCAAGTTAAAGGCTTTCTGTCAAAGGCTGCACCCCCCTAATGACACATATGTAAATGAAATGCTAGCCATGAAAGGGGAGAGCAGTAGTCCTCTGAGAAAATAAAAAATGTAAAATACATTGACTCAAATGTTAGAGATGTGGAAATATTGATGCACAGTTCTAGTGCTGCGCTGACTAAACAAATGCACTTTACATAAGAAAGATAAAATCGTTTACTGTTAAGTTAAAAGCCTCTATCAGAGCTGCCGTGATTTGAACTCTTGTGCACAGAGGTGTTTTATCTAGTGAGGTATTGTGCTCTTGGCTGTTTGATTGCTCAGTAAGCAGAAGAGATTTCTCTGAAGTTCCTGTTAGATACATAGTAGACACAAGCCCTTTGGATAGGGGTGTGCTTTTATGTAGCTAAAATCATGACCAGGTGCTAACGCCAGACCGAATGAAATCAGAGGCAAAATTCATGTTCATTTCAACAGTTTTTGCTCTTACGTACTCTACATGATCTGACAGTTGGAAGAATGAAAGAAACTGCATTTCATTAGAACGTTTCATTTTAATCATATTAAGTTGTAAATATTATTCTTCACCATAGGTAATTCATAAAATATATACACCCTTTTCATGATTGCATTTCTCCTGCTTTATATTCTTTATAAAACAAGAGTGGGACATTTATGTGCATCTGGATTCCTAAGCAAGCGAAAATCAATGGGAATTAGCAAATTGCAGACATAAATCTCATTAGGCAGCTATCATTAAGTGCCTAAATATTTTTAAAATCTGGCTCCATATTAGATCAAGATTTATTCTGGATAGTTATTCTGTATTTTTTTTCGGAAGGGGAAAACAGTACCTTGAACTCCTGGGGCATTCAAGGTTTACTTAAGCATCATCATTTGTTGTTGACTAGAGCAAAATGCATATTGTTAGAATAATTGAAATACTTTTTGATTGGAGACAGAGTTTGAGCCAATACATTGGTTGCATGTAGTAGCATATTTGAGGTTGCTTTTACGTCAGCACTGACAAAATTGCCATTTGCATTTATGAAAAAGGAATTTCTGATGTTCCAGGTGTGCCGCTGTATTATGTTCTGTGTGGGAACTGAAACTATAGTGCAGGAAGCTGTATTTCTACCAGTAATTTATATTTTTTTATTTGCTTTTGAAGTCGATAAGATTTTTATCAAGTATGTATTGAATTCAGTACAAGTTTCTGCTTGACTAATGGCTTCATAAATCTTTTTCTGAGCCAACTTTATTGGAAAGAATTGATAAAATCAAGCAAGTTGCTTTGAGAAACAAGAACTAATATTTCATCATTCTTCAGTTAGTAAGGCAGCTTTGTAGACGCTGATGTTTTGGTTTTTTTGAAGCAAGGATAGGGAAGTTCCTTGGAGGCAGGTGCTATTATAAATGTGTATGTGTATTTGTGTGCGTGCACACAGGTTTTTAAAGAATAAACAGTTAACACTGCAACAAGAAGAAAAATAGTTTTCAGACTTTACTTACCACAGAGCTAAGCACATGTAGCAGCAGATGTACATTTTGGTTCTATGCCACTTTGGTTTTGGACATACAGTTGTATTGTTTCATGATATTATCTTACATTGTTATGTTGTTTCAACATAAAATTGCTTCTTTCTCATTCCAGCAGTCATAGTTTGTATTGCTATATAGTATCCCCCAGCATTTGGGTGACTCATTTAATAAAGCAGCTGAAGTGCATTTTTTAAAGGGAGGTTCTGTCAGCAAACGTTGTACTGGGCATGGTCAAGGCATGCTCTCTTTTCTGGGAAGCTGAAAAAAGAAGCTGTATCATCAGCCAGCTTTTAGCTGTAAAGAGAATGAAGCAACTGAAGTGCAGTGAAAAAATACAACAATTCCAGTTCAAAAGAAAAGAATTTAAGCAAAGTAAACAGGATGAGAAAAAAGGATTTTGCTGCCTTTATGTACTTAAATGGTACTGTTTTATATAAAACTATTTACATGCAAGATCAAAATGCTTCTTTGAAAAAGTAAGGAATGTCTCCTGGTGCAGAGAACTGAGTGGGATGTGCTCAAACAAAAGATTAGGACAGCATGTCCAGTGTGAAACCTGTTGGATATTGGCTAGAAAAAAAAAAAGCAACATCTGAATCATAGTGTTAGTAGACAACTTTGACAGAAGAGAAAATAATACTTGAAGGATAATGAAATACTCTAATTATATAGCAATAATAGCTAGCTTGTAATAGTTAATAGCTTGCATATTAACTTATTAAAGGATGAGTTTTCATTTGGGAAGGGAGGTATGCAGGTGTTTCTGTATTTTGAGTGTTAACTTGTAAAGGGAAAACTACTGCAGCCTGTAGCCATTTCCCTTTTCATGTCATTTGCTGCTCATGTCTTCAGTGAGCAACCTGGATCTATGGACTGATGACCCGGTGAAGAGACACCTTCACCACAGCCAGAGGTTTAGCTTAACATTGTGAGCAGAAACAGGTTTTTCCACTTGCTTCTCAAAATTATTGCCACATTTCATCTGTGCTAGTGCCAGATTAACTCATTAGACAAACAGTGTGAAGAAAATGCATTAACTATTGATTCATTGACTTTGTCCTTTCTTAAGGTATGATAGCTTACAGTGTGTGTGTGGCAACTCCTTCTCCTGAAAAAACTGGGAGGAACTAACACTGATGTTTCCAAACAGAAAATATGGCAGAAGAATAATCTGTTTCTGCCTAATTTCAAACATTTAATGTAAAATCGGTTTATATATTTGCAAATAATTTTTAAAGAAAAGGAAAAGCCCATGTATCAATAACCATTCCCTGTTTAAACTGTGATATATGGGCAGGTATATCATTCAGAGAGGTGAAAACA